CAAGGACCACATACTTGGCCTTGATCTTAAGTGGGCCCCCCACCCAAAAAAACCCCTGACATTTAATAAATGTTTTTGTATTTCTATAGAAGACAACTTGAGTGCATTTTTGTATCAACGCTGGGACCTTTTTTAAATTTTTAGTGGCGGAATGTGGCTTTCATATGTTGCTAAGAAATTTACAGTCTGCAAATAGAATTGAGAAAATCCAAATCCAAACTGCAATTAGTTTAGTTTAGCACAAAGACTGAAATTAAGGGAACCGAAATTAGAGAAACTGCTAATCAGCGTGTCATCAAAACAGCTACCAGTCAACATAGCTAACATTACAAAGGGTATAAGCAGCCACTGTAATGTTTTTGTTTTTTTTGTTTTGTTTTTTACATCGTTTTAGCTTTGACCATCTTTGTGATGTACTAACATCATCATGGTTATGTTTAATTTTCATTGTTATTGATTAGGAATAAAACATTTGAAGCCTTTTAAAAACAGCCCCCCCCCCGCAAACACCCCAAAAACAACCCCCAAAAACAAAACAAAACCCCTGTACCCTATAGATCCTTTTAGCCTAGCTTAACATAATGCGAAAATTGAAATCGGAGGAACCGCAAGCCTAGCATACACTGACAAAAACAAAAAACCCACACATTTAATAACTACTGTAAGTAATTTCAATAACATAATGGATTTTTTTGATAAAAATATAGAAATAACAGATCTTTGTTTTAGCAGCAATTAGCATTAGCTTGTTAGCTAAACCAGATAAAACTAAAATCTACCTTTAATTAGGTAACAGGACTCTTTAGCTATTTATACTAAGCTGGGTTAAAGTTGCGGTAACAACACTCTGGTCAATTTATAAATGGGACATAATGTTCAAAATGCTAATAAAATAATTTCTAACCACAGATATTTGTAGCTAAGCAAGCTAACTGTTTTCGCGTGCCAAGGTTGGCCATTTTTATTAACCTAACATCATTGAGTGAGTTCTTTCATATCACCAGAGAACTGAGGTGGATTATATCAGAGCTAGAAACCAATTGCCCTGCGTTAAACCATGTATTTACACCACTAGCACTTTGCTAGGACTATGGAAGCCCACATCTGCCAAAAATAAACTATTTACGATTTTTTTTAAAAAAGCTGAAAATATTCACATTTTAGTTCAGGCTCACTATGAATGTGATATTCGTATTTGTCTAATAAAGCAAATGTTTTTCTTTTTATTTCACTGCATTAATATCAGATATTGTTTGAAGAGATAGCATCTTTAAATTCACCACAGAGGAGAAAAAAACAACTGTATTACAGTTAACTGAAAAGGTAAACAATGATTTAATGACATTTCATTAGATTTTTGTTGTCATCAAATCCGTTCTGCAGCATTAATTGGCAAACTGTACATCCAATTCAATCCGTGTTAATACGCAGCTGACAACTGTTACTCCTCAAATAAACATTTGCTTTTTGGGTAAATTACAGAGCCTTTTCTTTAAAGAAAAAAAAGAAATACTATCGTTGATTAGATTTTTTTTCTCCGCTGGATTTCTTGAGAGTGTAAGATGTCCCCTTTTAACTGGAACCAACAATTTCAGGCACTTTCTCAGCAGGTTGTCCAAAGGCAAAGTTTCAGGAAAATTACAGCAAATTACGATGAACACACCGACTTATTCAAACATTGGAAATATTTCCAGGGCGTCACAAAATCTGGAGGTGTGAAGACCATCTGTACAGATTGTTGCTGTTTCAGGACAGTTATAACTGTTTAGCAGCTCCTTCACAGTAAAAGTGTTGCATAATGAATTGTCCTGAATTGTCACTGCAATATAAAATTAATCGAGCTGCTTCTGCACACAGCAACGGTCTGTTTTTACAGGAGATACGCATGATTTAGTTCCGATTTCTACGGTCCTCATATGCCAAGAAAAAGGAATGAAAGTTGTCCAAATTAGAGATGAACAGATTCAAATTTTAAGTTTGGAAAATCAGCTTTACTGAATAAATCACGACAATTTGAATGCTAGATTACATTTATTATTATTCAGATTTTTTTTTCAAGTTTTAGATTTTGAGATTTGAGGCATCAAAAGTACAAATACTCAGAATAAGTAATTTCTTCCCTGAAAAAACATTTTTCAATTGCCAAACGTTAAACTATAAGAGACTAGAACAAAATATTTAATTAATATATTGAGGATATGAATAATATAAAATCTATGAAAGTCATAGAAACTCACAACTTAACTGAATACAGCAAACCTCAAAATATTGAGAAACTGCATCAAAAATGTTAATTACTCAATCAAAAAAAAAGGTCACTCATGTTTGACTAAATACATCAAAGTAGTTAATAACCGGATAAACTTTTGGAATAATAAACATATTTATGTTTACTTTCAGATCACACCTGTTAAATTTTTGATTTCAAACAACCTAAAACTGTGACTTTAAGGTCGAGAAAAAAAACAAACAAAAAGCCACAGCAAGCTTTTAAGTCACAACAGAGTAACTTGCAACCTTTGCAAATTGTAATTTTTAAATTTATCAAACGAAATGTTTTTTTTTTTTTAAAGATGTGTCAGTGCAATAATAAATATAACCATGTACTGATTAATTCAATTTACATAATTTTTGTATTGAAGTAGTAAAACTAATAGTGTGAGTCAAACGTTTTGTGTAAAAGTTACATCTGTGAAATTTATAGTTTTACTTTAAAGTCACGCTTTATAGTAAGTTTAAATATTCACTTTTTATGAAACTATGGAAACCAAATTTTTACGCATTGAGTCACCATAAGGTTGAACAAAAAGAAAATTCAAAAAACAAATACAAAATTGTGTTAATACTCATCAAGTTGCATTTATAAGAAAATACCTGGAATAAAATGTTCATTCTGAAAGTGAATTTAAATGAATAGTCCATTGATTTATAAACAAAAAGATTTTTTAAGAACGCATATTTAATTTTTTGTATAAACTTTTGATGCCACAAATCAGAAATTTTCACTTTTATATTACATTTTTCCCTGGCATAAATGGGCCTCCGCACATGGTTTCCAGATGGGAATGAATATTTAAAAAACAAAAAGAAACTAAACCTAGGAATTTTATTTACATTTTTAACATCTTATTCTCTTATTTACACTTTGTTCCTCCATTACATTTTCATTTCCATCTGAAATTAAAAAAAAAAAAAGTCAGCCACATCCAGCAAACAAAAATGTGGTGTCTATTTCCGTCACGTCTTCGGTTTTAAAATCCACGCCGAGGATCTCTGGCTGATCAGGTAACAAGATAATACTTGATCTGCAGATTGAGTTGGGCTGTAATGTTTCACTTCAAACCTAAAACCAACCGTTCACTCCTCAGCATGTTTAAAAAAAACAACAAAAACAAAACAAAAAGCCACATTTTAAATAAGAATAATGCGTCAGCCCTTTTTATTCTTCCTTCTTATAAAACTCAGTCTAGCCTGTTCTGAAATGTGGTTTCTAATGTGAGTGTAAAGCTATCGATTCTTCTAACCTAGAAGGTCACTGAGGATAATTACCCAATCTTTTCCCGACAACAGGCGTCCTCTCCTGAAAAAGAAAAAAAAAAAGCCCTTTCCTCATGGCGTCCACAAAGTTCTCCACGTTTCTGAGCAGACGTGGCGCTCCTGCACATCTGCTGATCTCAGAGGGAGGGGTTTCACCAGGCTTCGTTCCGCGTCCCCGACTTAGACAAGCTGGGCTTTGTTATGCATTTAATTCTAAGTGCAAGAGCAGCGCCTATGCTAAGGTCCTGTATTTTTCAATTGTTGAGTGGCAATATGACCACTTCCTGTGAAGAGTCCTTCAGTCCCCGTGAACTTCCAGTTTTTTTCCCTACAGTTTTCCTCGCTGGAAGAACGCCTGTCGACATAAAAAAAGGTCATCAGTAGAAATGAAACAGGTGAACTCGGTCGTAAACCAAGAAAGAACAACAACTCGTACCTTAATGTAGTTTTTCAGGACTTTGACGTCAGGCTGCTGGAGAACCTGGCAGAGCTCCTGATGGATAAAAGAAAAGACAAACTGTTAGCAGGCTTTCTGACACACCCACCTGTCCAACGTCCAACACTAGGTAACGTTCAACCACAGTTCGTCCAAAGTACGGAGAGTCAGCAGGGTCAAACTATATATTACGATACCAACAAGAAACTATCAAGGGAGGGAAAAAAATGCAAGAAAAAAATTATTAAACATATTTAAATAAGGAAACACTTTGAAATGAATAAAACTGAACATAAATAAAGGAACACGTCTCGAGGTATTTTTGAACGTCAGGGTTTGAGCTTTTCTGACCTGTGAAATTTCCGGGGCCACCTGGAGCGATGGCAGGTACTCCTGCTGCAGGAACTGGATGAATTCGAGTCCCTGACACAAAAACAGCACGTGTTCAAGCGGAAGTGCGGTGACACATAACAAAGCTTGGTCAACCACAAAAATACATTTTTACCCGTTTGAGATGAATCATCTTCAGTGTGAGAGCGCACTCCGACAGAACCTGAAAAAAAGAAAACAGTTGAGGCTTGTCACCAAAACGAGATTTTTTTTATTAAAGGTGGAATTAAAGAAACTCACCAGGACCGTCTGTGCATCTGAGAGGTCAAAGGTCGGTTTGAGGGGAGCCAGGAAACAGGCTGGGACGATGTGTTTGTAGATAAAGTCGGGGAAGCCCACCATGCCGTCTTTACCTCCTGCAGAAGAAGAAGAAGAGCTCAGAGTGAAGCTCACACCCTGTATTGACCAGCAGGGAGTGACAGAAAACAAGCTTCCTTCTCACAGGACACGACTTCCTGTCGAGGTCATGTTTCAGACTCACCCCACAGCTCCACCAGTTTGGTGAGGATGATGAAGCAGGTCTTCTGCGCGATGGGGTCGGGAAAGTCGACAGCGCCCTGAATGATGGTGAACACGATGCGCTCCATGTTCTCCGCCCCTGGAAACAAAACATTTAACTTTGGCCTGTTCTTTCATTTTAAGTATAATAAGAAAAAAATATTCTGGACCGTTTTCTCCTCTTGTTTCCTTTCCTCATTTGTTTCCTTCTTCCTACCATCTCTTTTTTCCCTTCATTCCTTCCCTTCTTCCTTTGTACTTCCTTGTTCCTAATCCATTTTCTCTCTTTCCTTTTCCCATCATTCCTTCTATGCTTCCTTTCCCTGAATGAGCCCTCCCCTGTGAGGTTCAGATCCTACTTCTGTGTCTACGTGTTTCTTGGCATGCTGAGTGGCGCTCACCCTGATTGGCCATCACCTCGTTCATCCCACTTCCTGCGATGGTCTGGATGAAGCTGAAGTAACTCCTCCTCAGCATCTGCTTCTCCAGTGCCGCTGTCTGGTCGTTCTCTTCTGCCGGGCGTGCCAGAACCTCGAAGATGGCAAGGACGAGGGGCATGAAGATCTGCTGCAGGAAGGGAGACACCTGCCGCTGCCGTGGCAACAGGAGAAGTTTGTTAAGGATGGCGAGTCAGAGTGTGCAGGAAGGTTTGGTGCTGGTTCAGCAGCAGCTTACCTTAAACTTGGCAGTGATCTGGCTGATGAGCGGGATGAACTCCTGTAGATCTTTGGCCTCGCAGTCCTTCAGCATGTGCTCTGAGGCAGCGGGGACAAAGGGCAGCACCTCCTCCTCCATGCAGATGATCATGCGGTGCAGGAACGAGCGCACGGAGCTGCGCAGCATGCTCCGTTGCACGGGGCAGCTGAGTGCGGGCAGGAAGGCCTGCAGGCAGTCCCGGTACACCTCGGTGCAGCCACACTGCTTCACTGTCTGCTTGTTGCTGAAAGCTTTGCTGGTCCGGCTGAAATGCCACAGACGGTGGCGAGGTGAGTAGCACGCCGTGGCAGTGGACAGAATAATAAATAAATAGATCGTTGATGGATTCTTACCTGGCGAAGCCGACGGCATGACTCAGGCAGTCGGCGAGGGCGGTCTGACGCTCCTCCTCAGTCTCCTGGGGGAGTTTGGCGAGTAGCAGGCGGAAGGCGTCCATCAGCGGTGTCAGCAGGCTTCTCATCAGTGCCTGCTTCCTCTCCACAGGGCTCTCGCTGTTGACGATGAGGATGCCGGCTGCCTCAAACATAAAGAGCTGGTCGTCGCTGGTCAGGAGTGCCGGGAAACCGTTTTCCTGGACAGAGAAATGCATGAGTTAGTATAGGAGGAGGAAACAGCAAGAAGAGGCGGTGTTGTGATACTCACAGGTGGAGTGAGCTCCAGCAGGTCCTGAATCCTCGTCAGGATGTCCTCGACGAAGGCATTCATGTGTTTACTGCCAACAGAGAGCGGTAAACGAACACTGGGTTTTAAAGTCAACTGAGCGTATTTTCAATCATTCGGATGTTCTTCCTTAAATCAGACTCTTCGTTCCTGGATTCATTAACTACATTAGATTCACATCCAACTGTAATGAGTGTCATTCTATATTTCTGTCATGGAGCAGTCTGAGCAGACGCCTCGGGGCCTTAACGCATCACCGAGGGGGCCTCCTGGTCAGATCCACCTCACTCTGCCTTTCAGATTGAGGCTAAGTTCCTTAGCATCATTCTTTCTACTCATGACCATAGCGGAGGTTAGAAATCTTAATAAATGGGTAAACAGCTGAGAGCCACACCAGTGAAAGCTGGAGGTCAAAATAAAGCCGACAGATTGAAACCATCATCATAAACCACTGAACCTGACTCCAGCCTGAGTTATGAACAGGTTCAGTGTCAGAGGGCAACTTGCTCACACGTTTCATGTCTTTTTTGTCTTTGTGGTAATATAGAAAGAAAAAGAATCATCTGATTTCAAAAGACTAAATATTATAAATTATTTAAAAAAAAAAAACATGGCTAGACATGTAGTTTTACATACAAAAGTTTGCACATGTTCAGTGCGTCCCCCTCCGGACGCTGGACATACGTCCACACGACAATAAAACTCGTCCCAAATGTTTGTGATGTGTGCTGGCAACCACAAGAAACTCACAAATCTGATCTAACAGTTTGTGTTTCCATGGCTACTGTGAACAAAATGACAGCTGTAGTTTCTGTTTTATTACGTTAAAAAGAAGCTGGTACAGCTCAAAGAGTTTATGAAACGATATTTTCTCAGGTTGTAGTTTTGCTGTTTTCTGTGTAAGCATCACATTTTGTTGTGGTGGAGTTATTCTTGGTGTAGAGCACACTTGTGAAGCCTGTTGCTGCATCAACGGCATCACATGGCTTCCAATGGCAACGGCTTGCCATTGGAAACTGAAATGTGTGATATTGTGCAGCAAGTGAAGCTGGACTCACTGTAGGGTTTTGATGAATCTGGAGAACAGGTAGGCCACCCTGCTGCGGACCTTCGGGCTGTTGTGTCTCAAGCCTCGCTGGTCCAGGAACGCCATCAGCACGCCAGGAATGTGCTGTGGCTCCACGATGAAAAACTTGTCGTATCGCACAACCGTTTCAAAGAATTCCAGAGCGACGGAGGTGTGCTGGTAGCTGCTGACACCGCAGGAAACCAGCTAAGGGTTCAAAAAGAAAACGCGTTTAAAATTTTGCCGCACAGATGCCAAACCACAGCCAAGCGGTCATGTGACTCACCGTCCTCATCATGTCCTGCAGGGCGCTCGTCTTGGCCGTGTCTCCAGAGAAGTGGGCACCATGCGCTGCCGGTAAGGCCTCACCCAGCATGTAGAGCAGCCTGATGGCGACCTCCACCTCCATGAAGGGTGCTGTCTGCCAGTTCCTAAGAGGAGACATTAAAGCTGAAACATGGCAGCTGCGTTTTTCCCACCTCTCTAAACAAATCAAAACATTTCTTACTGCATCGTGTTGGTGAAAACGCGGCGGACGGCTTCCAGCAGCAGCTCCGGTGAAACCTGAGCGAGTCGATCCAAAAGCATCTTCAGCTGCTTCCTGTACTCCACAAACATAGCCTCGTCCTCGCCCTGAGAAACAACAACAGCAGGTGTAATGCCTGCCGCTCTGCCCCGCCCTCACAGAGGAAGAAACAGAAACTCACCTCGTTCTCAAAGTTGTACTCGTCATCGTACGTGAGTTTTTTCATTACAGCGAGCATGATGGCCTATGGTGACAGCGAGAAAACTTTTTAATGATTTGCCCTCAGATAAAGACGTGAGAATGCACTGAGCGCGCTCAGAGACTCACCTCGATGTTTGCTTTCTGCTGGTCCGTCAGCTGAGGAAGCTATGAACAGAAAACAACCTCAGAACATTTTAAACCACTGCTGTGAGACCCGAAGGTCCCTAATTTTTAACATGTTCTCACTTTTAAACTTGTTCCTAAAAGTTAGAAAAGCTGCCCGGGCCTCAGAAGCCTCACCTGTTTGAGGACGTGCAGGTACTCGTAGCAGAAGCCGACAATGTTGGCCGAGATGTCGTCATCCTCGTGCACCAGCAGCTGCAGCAGCAGAGGCACTTTGGCCTCCACGGCCTGCAGCGTCTCTGCTGCGTCCTTCACGTTGCCGGTTTTCGCCAGCTTGGTCCAGCTCAGCACCAGACTCTGACCCATGCCGTTCACCAGCCGTGAGAACTTGGCCAGGAAGTCCACATCCTCCTCCTAAAGGGGACAGGAAGAGGAAACATAAACATGAAGCTGTAAAGGAAACACATTCTGCAGGAACAGTTCAGCGCTGCAAACTTAAGAAAACAAAATCAATTTTTAAACTGATACATGTTTAACGAACCAGCTGTGAGACCATCTGTGACATCACAAACACCAAATCCTCCTTTCATAAACACTGAGTTTTTGTAGAACTGAGGCCTCAGTGTAGCTGCTTTTTTCCTTTAAGTAAAATATTCTTGTGTTAAACGATGATCTACAGCAGCTATTTCTTCACTTGGTGTCTTTTGATTAGCTCTGGACAGGCTGTGAACAACGATGATGGATGGACGATGGAAATGTTTCATGTTTACGTTTAAGTCACAGCTGGAAATATTTATTTATAGTAACAACAGAACGGTGCTTTAAGTCACCGTCAGACATTTTCAGGACCCTCGTGACCCTCTGAGGCTGTGATGGGCGTGTTCCTTGTATCCATGTTAACTAACCTGCTCCACGTTGAAGAAGCCTGCTGACTGTAGCACTTGGCACAGAGACTCTACCAGCTTGGTTTTGTCCACTGGATCCATTCCCTTGTTGACGATTTCAAACAGGCAGTCGCAGGCCTCCTCCCTCAGCTCCTCCATGGACATCTGGCTCAGCAGCAGGTTCACGAACCTGAAAACACAAAAACAGGTGAGACGTGATGGCCATGGGTCAGAAATCATGTATACGATGCCTCTCCCCGTGCTCGTTCTGACCTGTCATTGGCGATGAGGTTGAGGTCGATCCAGGACACGTAGGCTCCGACAACCTCCAAGCACTGACAGGTGAGCTCGGGGTGGGACTGCTGGTACGTCTGCAGGATCTGGAACCAGGACTCCACCAGGCTGGGGATGCTCTGCTCCCTCATGCTGTCTTTGATCAGCGTGTTCCTGCGAGTCTCCTGCAGGAATACATGCAGCGAAATCATCACCAAAGCTACAAACGCTTCCTGTGACACATTTCCTGTTGGATCATGTGACCGCTCTTCCTTAGAAACCAGTCTGTTTTTGTGAGTAACGTGTGGGCCAGAGCTCTGTGGGTTTCCTTTCCTGCAGAGGCTTCTTCCTCCCACATCAGCCTGCTCTCCTTCTTTAACTCAGCAACAAATATAAAACACCACCAAAAGTTTTCCCATCATAATCCGCTTTCTGACCTCTGGCGTGTGCAGGATGTCTCTGTCCACCACCTCGGCGTCGATGGCCATCAGTGTCCTCAGGTAGATGTCGACTCCGTGGGGGTTCAGACCCACCAGGGACAGGATGTCGAAGAAGAACTTGGGCCACAGAGTCATGTACTCCATGACGAAGGTGAGGGCGAACACCTGTGCTGCCTTGTTCCTGATGAAAGCCTTCTCGGGCTGAGTGTTCATCAGCTGCGGGGAAGAGACGAAAGACGTGACAGCGAGTCTGTGAGGAGATGTGAGCGAGGCTCAAATCTGCACAACTAAAACAGTGAAAATTACTGTGATGTTTAAACTGGCACAACGTTGTGACATACCTGAAACTGGAGCCACTTCATCAGAGTCTCTCTGATGAGCTGCTGCTGAACAGCACTCAAACTGCAATGTCTGTAACACACACACACACACACACACACACACGTGAGAGCAGCGCCAGCAGGTAATACTCATCATGTGATCACGTGTGAAGAAGCTTCTTTCTCACCTGAACTTGATCTGATGCTCCAAGACTTGGAAGCAGAAGAATTTGACGTGGTCATCACTGAAACACAGAAATGCATTTAACAGCTGCAGGTACGACTCTAACACACCTGTGGTGTGTGGGCTGGGCACTCACCTGTAAATCCCTTTGGCGAGAGCCTCAGCACAAACCTCCCAAGCGTCCTGAGACTCCTTCAGCTGCTCGAAGTAAGCGATAGCCTGGAAATACACAGAGAGGCGACATCAATGACATCACCAGCTCTTGCTCTACTCAAGCAGCTCTCACACCTTCTCCTGCACCTTTACATCCGCAGAGGGTTTACTGGTGCTGATGTCAGGTTTTGATCTGAGTGTGCTCTGCTTATCTTGTTTCTATTGGACGCTGATAAACCTCACAGGTAAGCAAACATCAGAACAGATGCTAAAACATTTCTGTTTGTTTGCCTGTTGTCTTCTGTTTAGTGAGGCCACACACGCTGACCAATCACCACCTTTCAAAGACTCACTGAGCAGGAGAAATGCTGATGGAGCACCAGATGTTTTTAGCAGGCCAGTTCAGCACCTGAACGCTGTCTTTAACTAAGAAGTCGTGTTTCTGGAAGCTCTGCGCCGTGTCGTTTGTGTCCCATCTTTGAAACTGAACAACAGAAGTATCTTCAGAGTGTTTAAGTATGACTGAATGCAGTTTTGTACCAGCTCAAACACAAACATTGAGTAAGATTTACTACTTTCAGCTCCTGACGTGTCGTCTTTGAACCATTTTCAACTCATACATCTGTAAACCCATCCTGCTTTTTGTGACTGTTTTGGGTGTGTGGGTGGGGGGTATCAGTGGCGATGTGTGGTGGTGCCTCACCCTCTGCCTGTAGCGGGCATCGGCGTTCGGGTTGAGCCCCAGCAGGGCCTGCTCGTCCATGACTACAGCGACAGACTGGCAGGCCATTCGTGGGTTAGCTTTCCTCCAAGGCCAGTTCACTCCTCTCTGCTGCTGCCGGCCAGAACTCTCTCATCTGCAGCAAGGAAAGAGACGATTGTCACAACACAGCACAGGTTAGTGAGATTGAAGCAGATTAATTAGATGATTTAAGGGCAGTTACAGGTTTCAGGTGTCATTTGTTCAGGTAAACTGTTTCAGCAGAAGCCAAAGAAACATGATCAGCTTTAGAGTTATTAAGGTTACAGTTAAAGAAGCACAAGAGACTTATTTTTAGCAATTAATCAGAAATCCCAGGAAAACATACAGACTCCATTAAATAAAAAGTGAATGGACTCCATTAAAAAAAACCCACACACATCACATTTAATTAAAAACTTTGCTTCTTTCATCTCTTGCTCCCATCCAAGTGCCGTTAAAGTTTTATTTCTTTTAATTTGTCCTTCCTTTCCTTCATCCTACTTTAGTTATATTCCCTCATTCATATCCTACTTCCTTCCTTCTCCCCTTGATTCCTCCATTTTTAAAAACTCTTCCTCTCCCTTTTCTGCCTCTTCTTGCTTATTTCTATCCCTTTTCTTAATCTTGTCCGTTATTCTTTCCTTTGTGTACTTAAGACTTGTTGCTGCTGTTTGTAAATACAAATTTAATGAATAAAAGACTCAAAGTATGTGACTGATGTTGTCAGATAAAAGTAATAACTCAAAAAGAAAGGCTCCAGAGATATGGCTCTTTCCAAAGGCCATTCCCTTTTTATCAGATTAGTGGAAATTTGATTCTGCACTGTAGTGATGATAAACACATCAGATCTAGGTTGTAGTTTCAGTGAAACATGTGAGCAAGGGTGGGTTGATTAAGAATAAACACAGCTGTATAAACAGGGCACCTCTCTACCAAACTCCATTCACTTTTTATTGAATTTCAGTAAAGAAAGGTTGGGATGCTCTTCTTAACCTTATCAGCTTCGTTTTTTTTAATTAACCAAGTACGTGGTCGAGTAGGTGTACACTGCTGTACAGTAATAACACATGGGTAATCTGCTGTAGAAAACGGGCATTTCTCCACCAAACTCCATTCACTTGTGGCCCAATTTAGAGAATTTTTCCAGCGTTCTTATAAAAACAGATTTAATCAAAATTACAGACTGAATTACGTTGGCTATGTAGGGGCTATGTACTATGACAGGTAAATAGGTGTCCAGCTGATAGTCAGTCCAGGTGAGCTGGCAGTGCTCTTGCCCGCAGTGACAGCTCGGGTGGCGTTTGTGGACGACGGAGACCGAGGGTGATGCAACACGGGGCCAATACTCCAGCCTCCATGTTTACACCGAAACACCACCCATAGCACACGGTCTCATCTCTACCGAACACCTGAGCCCCAGGCGGATATCTCCATGTCGCAGCTCCTTGATAAAGCCCACCTTCGTCAGTTAGCTCCGAGCTAACACCTTCACATCGGAACAAACTAGCTGCTAACGCCAGCTAGCCTGCTAGCCGCTGAGCTCGCGGGCGGGCGGAGGGCGCTCCTCGCATGGTTGAAACTCCACCAAACCCCACCGACTTCACCCGAAGGTGTTTAATTAGATCGGCTGTGACGGTGCGGGGGAGCGGATGGAGCCGAGGGAGGTTCTTCCCCGGTTTATGACGGCCCGGTGAGGCTACCTGCCCGCGGCTCCGCGAGCTCCACAGCAACTTAAGCCTCACGCAAA